CCCTAAACCCTGAACCAAAACCCCAAAACCCTAAACCCTAAACCTCTACACCCTAACCCGAACCCTAAATCCCTAAACCCTAAAACCCTGAACCCTAGGTAGTTTTGTGGACAAGCCGGGCTTAGGGTGAAGGGTCGCCATGGTCTGGGCTCCGCGGCTACGGCTTCTAAAGCCTGAGAAGCTGCGTTTTTGGGGTTTAGGGTCTCGGGTTTTGGGGGTTTACGGTTTCGAGTTTTGGGGGTTTAGGGTTTAGGGTTTTGGGGCTTTGGGGATTTAGGGTTTGAGGGTTGAGGGTTTTGGGGGTTAGGGTTTAGGGATTTAGGGTTTAAGGTTTTAGGGATTCAGGGTTTTAGGGCTTAGGGTTTTAGGATTTAGAGGTGTGGGGTTTTAGGGTTTTGGGGTTTTAGGGTTTTCGGGCCGAGGGAATCTAGGGTTGGAGGCTCAATTAAGGATGTCTTAGTGGTATGGTTTGAGCTCTAAGGTTCAGGGTTTCAGAGCTTCATGCAAGGCTTGGAGGAACCCGCGCAGCAACCATTCTTGATCAGGATCCCGCCGCCTAGCTTTCGGTCCTCCAGCATAGCTGCAAGGCGCAGAAAGGCCTAAGCCGCCATCAGCACTCTGCCAAGTCCCACAGGGTCCTACGTACCTAAGTAGTAGAATGTGGGGTTTCTGTATTAGGAATTACAATGATGGTTTGAGGAAGTATCCCCCCATAACAGTACATAGGACCCTTTGGGAGTTGCTTCTTCCTCCCAGGTTTTGTTATAGGGTCTCGGGAGTCTCAAAGGTTCATATGGGGGGGCTTTCAGCCCCTTAGACCTCATGACTTCAAACAAGCTTCACACATCCACCGCGCAGTGGACGTCAACAAGTGAGGCTTTGTAAGACCCTACACCCTAAACCCTAAACCCGAAACACTAAAAAAACCCTGAACCCTAAACTCAAAACCCTCGACCCTAAACCCGAAATCCGGGACCCCTAAGAGGGCTTACCGGCAGGATCTGGAGTTACAGGAACCCTGATAGAAAGAGGGTCGCCGGGTCTTCTGCGAGCTGCTACGGTAAACGGTTTAGGGTTTAGGGTTTAGGGATACCAGGCCTTAAATCTTAAACTTATACCTCATAACTTCACAGGATCCTACCATTTTAAGGACTTATATAAGGAACCCCAAAAAGGCTGGGTTTTTGAGGTGCAGGTAGACCCCGGAACTCAAAGCCCTCTCATCCCTGGGCAAACAGAGCCTGACACCCCTGAAGGTCGAACCTCAAAATTCACAAGTTTCAGCTCTTCCCCCCGGAAAGCACAAACCAAAAGGGGCCGAAATAATTCGACTCGGGTTTTAGGTTGCTTTGGAATATATAGGGGCTACAATGAACGACTACAGTACTACTACTGACAAATTTGCTCGACCGGGCATTCTGCGGCCTGATCTTGATGGAACGTTGGTTGTAATACAAATTCCCCCAGCATAGCTCGAGACTCGTGCAATAAACACTACACACACTGCTTGAGCAACCGGGAGGCGGAATTCCCTCCCACCAGCGCTTTGACGAAAGCTGGATCTTTGGCTGCCTGCTGCAAGCACATGCCGGGAACAGCCTGTCTAAATTTGTGGGCCATAGCAATGTTGGGTCCGTTGCGACCACGCATGTTATCCTAAACAATACTCTACAGATGGAGAACACCGTCTCTGAAGACCCAGGAAGCACAACGACAATGGGTGATATGCTCGGGCCCCAGCTTGACTTGTTCGGCCGCTCGAAGTGTTGAGTCTGTACAGTAGGTTTGGGGCTACATCATAGGGCTCCATGCCTCTAGAATGTAGACTTTCCCACAGGGTCCTACGTACCTAAGTAGTAGAATGTCGGGTCTCTGTATTAGGAGTTACAAGTATGGTTTAGGGAAGTATCCCCCATAACAGTACATAGGAGCCTTTGACCTTTGTGGCGGAGGAACCCTAACGGCCCAAGTGGCCCGAATGTAGTAGGGTTTAGGGTTTAGGGTTTAGGGTTTAGGGTTTATAGGGTTTAGGGTTTAGGGCACCAGCACCATTCACTGATCACCTGCGAGTGCTGTCCGCGAGCCTCCGGACGTTCCAGTGTGGCCCTCACCAGCTGGAATGCCTCTCAAGGTTTAGGGCTTAGGCAGTGTAGGGCTTAAGGAGCAGAGTGGTTAACATCTCATCACGAAACCTGCAACCCCCCATGCCAAGCCCTGTTGAAACTTTCGAAGCCCCGATCCCTACAAGCCTAAACCCTACAGACTCTATCAGATGATAACAAAGCGCTGAGGACATCGAACCTAGGGCCTAGAGACCTCTAGATCTGAACTGCATGTGGCTCGCAAAGAATTCCTTGAGGGTTTAAGGCTTACCTGGACCCCAAAAGTATGTAAAATAATAGCCTTTTATGGGTCTTGGGCCATTATTTTACCTACTTTTGGGGGTTTAGGTAAGGGTTTCGGTTTAGGGGTTTAGGGTGTCAGGCTTCAGGGCTGCAGGGTGCTAGGGTTTAGGCCAGTGCGATTCCAAACTCTTGCGAACAGAAAGACCTATGCCGCCCTAACCCTAAACCCTATAATATAGGGGCCTAAATAATTACCGACAATATTTTGGGGCTTCCTTACTATGAATATAGTATAATGGGCCCCAAAACCCTATTCTAATTATTAAGTCCCCTACACTAATCGCTAAAGAAGGGGCCCAACGACTTTCCCAAAGGCTCACTGTACCTTTGTAGTAGTTACGCTTAGGGCCTGATAAGGGGCAGAAGTATCTATTAAAGGGGTGCGTGGGGAGCCTTAGGGTTTCAAACCACTCGCACAGCCACCCCAAACCACCGCGAACGGAGGATCCTGAAGAAAATCCGTCAGGATAAATAGGAAGCTCACATACTTGAAATCTCGATCCCCCAAAAAGACTCCAACCCAGAGGTCTGAATATTTAGCAACATAGCTCGCCCAGATTCCCAATGATTATTTGCTTTTATCGTATACTCTAATCATGAGAGTAGGGCTTTGGGGGTATATTATATTAAAAACTATTGAGAAGGAACCCCCAAACTAGCATGGGTAATTATTTAGGCCCCTAACGTACATACACAGACTCTTCGAACCATTTAAGACCCCCCCCAAACAAACAAACAAACTCCAACCAAACCTCTTCCTTCCATTGCGCCTCAGTGCGGTGGCTAGCATCATGGAAATCACCGGCTGCAACCATACCGGCCAAGAGCACCTGCAAGCGACATGTAACCTCAGGGCCCCACCCTAAACCCTATATTTAGGGCCTAGGGGTTTAGGGTTTAGGGTTTAGAGTTTAGGGTTATGTATAAGCCCGAACCTTGTTAATGCAATCTTTGGCCAGTACGGGCTTTAAGGGGGTCTATACGGTCTATATGAAGAAATTGCGAAGCTTGCGAACTTCATAATTCTCGGGGTTTGTAAAAGCCTTTTTGTAATCCTCGCTGAGGTCCCGACTAGCGTCATAATGCTATTGTTCGATTATCTATCTATCTATCTATCTATCTAACTATCTATCTATCTATCTATCTATCTATCTACCCATCCATCCATGCATCCATCCATACAGACATCCATCCATCCATCCATCCATCCATCCATCCATCCATACATACATACATACATACACAAACCAAAAAACCCCTAAACCCAAACCCCTAACCCCAACCCCCTAACCCCTAACCCCTAAACCCGTGAACCCCTAATCCCCTAAACCCTAAACCCTAAACCCTTAAACTCGAAAACTCTACACCCCAACCCCTAAGGCCCTAAACCCTAAACCCTAAAACCCTAAATCCCTAAACCCTGAACTCTAAAACCTAAACCCTTAAACCCTAAACCCTAAACCCCTAAACCCCTAAACCCTAAACACAAACACCCTAAACACAAACATTTTCCCCCCCGCCCTCTCTGGCCGAGGCACTGCACCCAGCAGGCTGCAGGTCGGCGTGGCCGAGCGCAGCAGCGACTGCAGAGGCTTTCAGGGTTCTTGGGTTTAGGGGTTTAGAGTTATAGGGGTGTTAGGGGTTTGGGGTTTTGGGGGTGTGGGGTTGTGGGTTTTGGGGTTTTAGGGGTTTGCAGATAAGGGTTTAGGGTTATAGGGGTTTTAGGAGTTTGGGGTTTGGGGTTTAGGGTTTAAGGTCTAGGGTTTTGGTTTAAGGCTTTGCTTTAAGGGGTTTGGGGTCTAGGGTTTGGGAATTAGGCTTTAGGGTTTCGGGGTTCAGGGTCGAGGGTTTGGGCTTTGGGGTTTGGGTTTAGGCTGGGGGGGTTTAGGGTTTAGGGCTCAGGCTTTGGGGTTTCGGGGTTTAGGGGTTTAGGCTTTGGAGTTTGGGGTTTGGGGTTTGGGGTTTGGGGTTTGGGGCTTAGGGTTAAAACTTGAAGGTTTGGGGTTCAGGATGTAGTGTACGCTTTGGGGCCTAAGGGTTTTGCTTCTGGGTTTAGGGGCTAGGGGTCACGGCCACGGCTAGGGAGCACTTCGGGTTTGGTACTTCGACTTGAGATGAAGGGTTGAGGGTTGGCATTGGCAAGAGGGTTTAGGGTTTGAGGGGACATCATGTTCGGGGCTTCTTAAGCCCTAAGCCCTCAACCAAAAAAAATCTAACCGTAAACCTAAAGCCCTAAACTCCGAAGAGCCATACTCTTTGGGGTCCAGGGGGTCGAAGCTCGCGATCCGCGTAGCTGGGGATTGCAACTAAGGCTCAGGCAGTTTTGCTTTCCTGGGTATGGAATGTAAACTTTAGGCTTAAGGGTCTACTACACCCCATCAGCATGGTTCCAGTGTCTGACGAGTTGAGGATCGAGATTTGCGAGGTTGCTGATTACAGCACTGATCATTCACAGAGGGCGCAGGATTGAGCATGCTTGCTTCTCCCAGGCACGTCGCGACGAGAAGGTCTCACTTCAACATTCCGTTCAACCTGCAAGAATTCGGCCTGGACTCTAGATAGAAGGCCCCGAAACCTCACTATCAGCTCCAGAACGAACATCTCTTATCTAAAAGAATCGAAACCTACAATATAGACGGTTTAGGGTTTGGGGTTTAGGGTTTAGGGTAGAGACTAGCCCGCAATGAAAAGCCGAACAAGGAGAAGGTGCTTAGGCTAGGCCCTGTCAAACGGAACCCGGTGCATAGCAACGTCTGTGCAGGGTTTACGAGCCGGGGGATCAGAGTATAGGGGGTTAGGGAATACGATAGGGGCCTAAAACAAAATTACCTATACCATTTTTTTTTGGGGGGGTTCCTTATTATAATTATAGTATAGTATACCCGGAAACCCTATTCTAGTTACTATTGAGGCCCCTACATTACTCTGCGGCAAACCCCAAGTCCACATGGGACTGTCTGAGTCTCTTGGAGACAGCTGAAACCCAAAGGCTCCAAGCACTTTTATAGTAGATACTTAGGCCTTAAAGGGGTCTCTATATAAGGTTTAGGGTTTTAGGGTTTAGGGTTTAGGGTTAGGTACTTTAAGGCCTAAGTATGTACTATATGGGCACATGGAGCCTTATAGGGACACACTAACATCAAAGCACAGGAAACCTTTCACACAATCTGCCCATCTGGGCAATCTCGTATGGAGGCCCATGATCACGCACTCCCTACCCTCCAAAAGGAGTACGGCAGGGAACTACTATAACGTTCATTACAGAAAGCTCGTCCATCATTCATCGCGGGCCTACACTCAACCTCAAACCCCCTAAATCCACGAAGCCCCACGACCCCAAGCCCCCTCAACGAAAAAGAGTAATGTACGTAACTGTTCAGGCTTCTATATTAAACATGGCAAAGACCCATTCCCTGCCTGCAGGACTTTGAGACCTACGCCCCCCGGCTGCGCGAAGGCTGAGCGTGTCGATGCATCCCAGGCGAGCCACCTCTTGCCAGTGGGGCTGGGTGTCTTGACGGAGCTTCCAGTATCTTGAACCCTAAACCCTAAACCTTGAACCACCAAATCCTAACCCCAAATCCTGACGGAATAAACGCTGGACGTTGGGGGGTCGCAGCTTCACCTTTCGCAGGCTTCGGTGTCATGGTTGCGCGCATGTTCAGTGTTACATGCATAGGCATAGGTCGGTTGACTGTACGCAAAGTCGATACCTGGCAAAAGGTTGCCAGTCTCATGCTCGGAGTAGATCCGAAACCCAGCCCGAAACCCAAAGCCAAGATATTCGGAAATGTTGATGAGTAAGCTGTCCGAAACCATCAGCCCATTCTTCAATCTGCAACCTCCGACAGTAGGATCTTAGACGGGATAATTTGGAGACTAAGCAATTAATTGGACCAGCGTTTTGGGGTACATCATGCCATAACGATAAAAAGAACCCTAGAGCATGGCATTACTCGATGTTCAGGCTTCTGCACGATGATTTTTCTCGAAAGCATCCCTAGTCGCTGTGAGCTTACGTCGCAGCCAGGGTGCAGGAGCTTGGCCACAAACTCCTGACACGAAATGCCAGGCATGCACCCTAAGGGTCCAGGTGCCTGTGTAGTGGTTACTTAGGCTGTGAAGGTATTGCGTATCAGGGCCAGAGTATGTTGCTGCAAGTTAGCTGCAGAGGTACATGGGCACTTGGGCGCATTTTTGGACCTCGTGATTGAGTGCCAAGCCTTCCGGAAGATTCTGCTTTGGCATCGTGGCTGTGGCTGCCTGTGTGCCTTTGTACGTTGATGTCGCCCAAACCCTAAACCCCAGACCCTAAGCCTAAAACCCTAAACCCCAGAACCCTAAACACTAAACCCCAGACCCTACACCTTAAACCCTAGACCCCAGACCCTGAACCTTAAATCCTAAACCGCAGACTAAGAAAGCCTGGACAACCCCCAATATGTTAGGATCCGTGTAAAGATCCCTAATAAAGACCGGGGCTTTCTTGATCAGGTTCCTGAACCCCTCGAGCTCCAATCCCTTACGTTCTTAGCCTGCCGAACAGGGTATAGGGTCCCAACGGGTCCTGGGTACTGTTATGGGGGATACTTTCCCAAATCATAATAAGGATTCCGAAACCCTACATTCTACTATATAGGCACTTTGGACCCTTTGGGGGATAAGGGTTTGGGGAGCTAAAAATTCTGGTATATTCCTTATTATGGGGAAATGCAGGATTTATATAATCCAAACCCTACCCTAAACCCTAAACCCTAAACCCTAATCCACACCCTACTTTATGGCACATCGGCAGCCCCATTTCCTGGCAGCGAGGGCGCTGGACCAGATCCTGATTGGAGCTTTGAGGTGCAGGGTTTAAGGCTTCATATAGGGGCCCCACATAAGTAGAATAGGTTTTTGGTGCCCATTATACTATAATTACAATAAGGAACCCCCCAACATAGTATTAGTAATTGTTTAGGCCCCTACATCAGAGGACTTGAAGGTTTATGGTTTAGGGTTAGGGCTTATAGTCTTTGAAGGAGCCTGGCATGTAGGGCTAGGGGATGGACTTTAGGTCTTTAAGGTTGTCGCAAAGCGCATGCGGCGAAACCCGACCCAAAACAACTAAACAACTGAACCCAACATCGCCCCACCCCCCACCCCCCGCCCCCCTCACAACAACCCCTTTAGACCCTACAAAATCCCTAACCCTGAACCCCAGGCCCCAAGACCCTATCTATAGCTATATAATAAAAGCCTTGATAATGATAGTGACACATACAATACTCATCGTAGTAATGCCAATAATATTAGCAATGAAGCAGAATAGTACCTAAACCCCTAAATCCCTAAACCCTAAACCCTTAAATCCCTAAACCCCTGGGGCCGCGGCGAGCAGTTGCAGCAGACCCCCTCCCGTCAGGAACCGGGCCACGAGACTGGCCAGTCGCTCGCCCTGCTTTGGATTCTGGTTTAGGGTGTAGGGTATACACCGCCGGGTTTAGGGTTTGGGTTTTTTTGTCAAATGCAGTAGCTCTCAAGGGTTTGGGTTTAGGGTTTAGGGTTTAGGGTGGCTTCGGGTTTAGGGTGCAGGGTGTAGAATTTAGGGTTGGGGGATTTTTATGTTTGAGGGTTTGGCATTGCGGGTTGTTAGCAGGCAGGACATAAATGTATAGGATTTGGGGCCTATGTGGCTTTTTGCTTGACCTTTTTCCTGGCCCGAATACAGTAGAGGGACGTGTTGCTCTTAGTTTGGTTGTTGTAGATAATTGGAATATGGTTTTGCGGTAATTAGGCAATAAACCCTAAACCGCCTAAACCCTCAACATAATCTTAAATGCACTGATTGGATGGGTTTGGGGTGTAAGGGTTGAGGATGGCACGGTTCAGGGCTGCTGGGTTTGAGCTTGGGGTTTGGGGCTGCGGCTTTACGCACATCCAAATAAAGGACAGACACAACATACCGCATAAACTGGAAGCCCCACACCACACATACGATATCAAGCAAGGCGCTACCAGAGTTCGTTTGCGAAGTAGACATGTGCATGGGATTGGTCACTCTGCGGACGTTGCTGGGAATGGCTGTTGAGTTTTGGACAGCAGGTCTCTGCAAAGAGCCTTCGGATTCCTCGACACGACAGCTTCGACTCATAAGCTTCGAGTAAGAAGAGTGTAGAGTAGACCAAACGTCTAGCCCGAAACCCTTAGACCGAGAGTAAGGTTCAGAGATGGGCATCAGTACTGTGATAGGCTGAATGGCGCCCCCACCCTGGGAACTGCAAAAGCCTGAACACGGATACCGACAGCTCGAGATACCACATCTTCCCAGCATTTCAGGACCGCCAACCCCGACTTTACTTGTGAACTCAGCAATCCCATGAATCTGAGAGATTGTCTTGGAGGGTGTAAATCAGGTTGCGAGTACCTTGTGAAGATAGAAGTAAGTCTATATCGTCTATATCTGTAGATACCATGCTTACAAACCTGGCTACGACGTCCCGTGCCGTGGCGAGCACCTGGCCTCGCGTGCGACGATCACATTCAAAGCCGGCCTGACGTCGTCCAGAGCCGTGTCCTCCACAGTAAACTCTACACCCTAAACCTTAAACCCTAGTCAATGTGAAACGCTAAACCCCTAAACCCCTAAACCCTAAACCCCCGAACCCTAAACCCTAAACCCCTAAACCCTAAACCCAAAGCCCTAAACCCGGCTCAGGGGTCGCAGGGGTGTCGTGTTGGTGCTCGTACCAGGAGAGTCAGCTGGAGGCTTCGGCATTGAGACCTCCTCCTGGGTAGAACACACCTTTAGGGTACTATACCTATAGGGCCATACCCTACCCCTTTTTTTAAGGTACCTAGTTTCATGGTTAGGATCTGCTATATAAAAAAGTGGGTATCCTAAAAAAGGGGTAGGGTATGACCCCTGTAGGTAGGGTTCTGTAACAAGGTTCCTTTGGGCTTCGGGAGTTAGGGCTTAGGGCTTGGGCTTAGGGTTTGGGGCTGCGGTTTCACAGCCAACATTCCAGAGCACAAAACCTGCAAGACCTGCAACCCTAAACCCTATATCCTATACCCTAAATCCTAAACCCAAAACCCTAAACCCAAGCCTCCTGCCATCGTCTTCTAAGCAGAACGACCCACCGGGCAAGCCCAAGCCATTGTTACCCGCAGCACCTAAACCCTAAACCATTGAAGGGTTTAGGGTTTATAGGGTTTAAGGTATAGGGTATACGGTTTATGGTATAGGGTTTAGGGTATGGGGTTTAGGGTATAGGGTTTAGGGTATAGGGTTTAGAGTTTAGGGTTTAGGGTTATTCAATCCCCCGAGGCTTCACCTAAGATCTGTGAACAGCCCGAACAAGCCCACCGTTTGTTGACAAATCCCCCGACGGTCCCTAGCCAACGAGAGATGCCTTTCAACGCAACGTAGCTGACAGAAAGGTTTCATGCGACAACCCACTCTGAACAACTACATGGACAGCTCTCGAAGTTACTGTCCCTTTTGAGGTCCCCAAACTAATACCCGAAAAAGGACCCTAAAATAGATAACTACTCACATGCAACAGAAGTGGAGGACCTCTGGACTTTGGAAGGTACTTCTTGCAATGTTATCACGAGTCTCCCTCCTTCTCACGACTACTGACAGCTGTCATGAGAAATAGTCGCCGTCATGGCAGTTACTCTTGTGCTACTGTCATTGCTGCTGCGACTTCAATTCTACCACTAAATTTCTTGGGGGAGCTTCCCCTAACAACCCCTAATCTCCTCAACCCCTAAGCCATAAATCCTAAGCCCCTAAGCCCTAAATCCTACATCCTCTCTTACTTGAGCTGCACTTCCTTGCAGGAACAGGTCCTGGACCTGTACTAAACCCAGCAGAAGTCCGATCACCTTGGGCATTCGTCAGGCCCCAGGCAGGTGTCGCAAAACATGGGCGGGTTTGGGGTAAGGGTTTATAGGGTTTAGAGTTTAGGGTTTGCTTGGAGCAGGTCCAATGAATATCATGTCGCGGGTGCTGGGTTTAACTTGGGAATGTCGAGGTCTTGGGTTACGGCTTGGAGTTTGGCGAGGTCTCGGGTTGCGGCTTTGAGTTTGGAGCTTAGCGGATTGGATACCGGTTTGTAGACGGGGCGGATCAAATTATAATAGGTTTCACGCCTTCGGATGCCTGCCGAAGCTTGGGTGGGGCCTCCATGCGGTTTCAAGACCCGCGCCTTCTCTCCCGCGCGCCACAGGAATGGTAGGGTTTAGGGCTTTTGGCATCATATGTGAAGCCGAACGTCCTGCTCCTACAGAATATGGTGCTTCGCAGCGGGGATGCGGAGACAGAGTCGGCAACACACGGAAGTTTACAGGCCTCGGCGGGTGTCGCCTCGCGCAACGGCTGCACGAGGGGATGATGACATGTAAGTCTTCCACAATCACCATCTGCAACTGTAGAGTAAACCGAAGTCATGACATCGTTCCACGCATAGACATCTTCAAGCTAAACTTCCGATCCTGAAGCTGGCACACCGAAACAACCACTTGTCCGGCACAAGCTGGGGAGCCGGCACCACCCTTAGCCGAGACAGCTGGTAATATAGGGGCCCTCACAGTAAGAATGCGCGGTGTGGACTAACGTTGTTCAGGCTGCTAAAAGGCGTTTGGCGTGGCAGATGTGGCTTCCTCCGCGAAGGCTTCAGTCTCTTGGTAAAGCATTCGATGCCGCTCCAAAACACGGGATGGGAAGTTCTTGCTTTGTTGTTGTGTGTATGTGTGGGTGGGTCGGTATGTGCGCGTGCGTCTGCGGGCTTGTGTTAGTGTTAGCGCTTGCTCCTAGTCTTTAGTGGAGTGGTTATGCCTGTAAAGCTTTAAGCAAGTGCCGTGCTAGTGTCACATCCGACCACATCCGTGTTAATTATGCGAGTTTGCAGACAACTGCCAAATAAAGGCATTGAAGCCGGATGGGCTCTTGATTACCGTTTGAGGCTTCGCCAGTTCTTGTCGAATCTGTCCAGACTGTGAACAGGCGTGCGTACCAGAGGCATCGAATCGAAAGCATCGGCACTGGATTGTACAACAGGAGATTCCTGAAACAACTTAGATGAAGGGTTCAACAGCAGCTTGAGCATGTACCTTATGGAACAAGCGAGCCATACAGGAAACTATAGTTCCTGTCCAATTTAAGGCGTGACATGACAAGATGTTCCGTACTTCATTTGATCCATACGGTACATGTACCCTCTCGGCGGCGGCTCATAACCCAATACTGCCCTTGAACACTAAACCCTGAAATCTAGGCCCCCCCCCCCCCCGTCCGCTTTAACCCACAAAAATCTGCGGCAAAGCCACATCTACGAGGCGGTCGCGTGCTGCCTGCGGTCGAAATTCGAATCTTGGAGCTTGATGTAAGGATCTGAATACTGTAGGGGCCTTAAGAATTAGAACAGGGTTTGGGCTGTCTATAGTATTGCTATAATAAGGAATTCTAAAAATAGAATTGATAGTTCTAGGATTCTACAGCAGTTGGTCACCACATTTCCCAAAGTCCCTGTTCACGTATACTAGAACATACCCAGAAGCCTCTATTCAGGCCCCCATTGCCATATTCTTCCCTCGTCCTAAACGTTAGTTAAGGCTTGCAATGAGAATAAATGTTGAGATGCACCCTAGACCCTTTAAACCCTAAAACNNACCCTTTTAAACCCTCAACCCTAAACCCTCAACCCTGAACCCTCAACCCTTTAAACCCTCAACCCTAAACCCTTGTAAACCCTAAACCCTCAACCCTAAACCCTCAACCCTGAACCCTCAACCCTTTAAACCCTCAACCCTAAACCCTCAACCCTGAACCCTCAACCCCTTTAAAACTTTAAACCCTCAACCCTAAACCCTTTTAAACCTTCAACCCTGAACCCTCAACCCTTTAA